GAAGTACGAAGTCTTTTGGGTTTTATAACTGCTGAAACTCCAGTTGACACTGATGATTGTTGTTTGGATCTTTCTGGATGCCATAAGTTTAATCATGTAAAGTGCTGCGAGAAAAGCCTATACATCTAAACATCTCGTCACGCGCAGTATAGCCGAAGGAGCCGAAACTCCTTCTTTATGTGTACGGGTGTGACGTAATGACGCAAAGACATGCTCGAATTTTCCGCGGAAACCCACCAGTACCACTGGAATTAAAATCATTATTACAAGCTAACCGTTTTGAATCTAGCTATGGCAAGCAGATAGTTTTGACCACTGGCAGAATAAGTTTTTTTTAATATAATTATTTTGGATTATTTTTAACTTAAAAAAGCTACGGACTGCAGCTTTAAATGAAAACATTTCTTATGTTCACCAATGCTGCATTTATTTGATTAAAATACATAGAAATATAGTTAAATACTGCATATATATATATATTCTCTTTGATGACAAAGCTCTATTTTCAGCAGCCATTACTCCAGTCATGATTCTTAAAAAAATTAAATATTATTTGAAAATGGTTGCGTTGCTAAATTAGGTTTGGCACTGGCAATTGAATGTCTTTTTCAGGATTTTATGATGAATAGAAAGTTTGAAGAACAGCATTTGTTTGAAATAGAAATCTTTTGTAACATCATAAATGCCTTTACTGTCAAATTTTGATCAGTTGAGTCCTTGCTGAATGTGTCTTTAAAAATAATCCCAAACATTTGAACGGTGGTGTAACACAAAACAACTATAAGCCATGACTTAAATTATATTTAGGCATGGTTCCACAGACAGGGCTTAGATTAAGCCGTAGTTCAATTAGGACATTTAAGTAGCTTTTATAAACATGCCTAAGAAAAACACAATGTGTGCATCTTAAGACAAAACAATGGCACTGACATAATTTAGGATATGTCAGTGCAAGCTGCTTTCAGTTGAAACAGCTCAAACGTGCATTTTAGTCTGTGACTAGGCTTAAGCCTTGTCTGTGAAACCTGGGGTTAATATGAACACCCTTGAACAAACTTTAGCCAAGCAGCAAATGCGGTTGATAAAGGCTGCAAATAAATAGTGGCTACACGCTTTGCCTTCATCTTCAGCTATAAAACGAGTTTCCTTTTTATGGGCTGAATGTATAAAGAGAGTAAAGACTCACAGCTCTCAAATAAGTTACAGAGGTGAAGCTCTGACTCTCAACAAATAAAGCCTGAGAGATGTGTGTGTTCTTTTTTCATGAGAAGAAATCTGTCTCATGAAATCTCAAAAACAAATGCCCTGTATTTACCCAAATAGCGGCATTATCAGTTGCATGAGCTTATAAACTTCACTTGGTTTAGTACATTTGTCCAAAATAAATAGGCTCAAATGACTTTTTGGTTGATCTCCAAATGCTGTTTTGTTTCGTATAGGATCTGCAGTGTGTACTAAGAGGCTTCGGTCCCATCTTTGAGCAGAACAGCTGTTCTCTCTGGCAAGCACAGGGCAAAAGGACCAATAAAACACATGAGTGCACTAGAGCTGTAAACCTCTTTCTACCATATACATACATTAAACACAAACCACTCCCAGCCTGTATCCTACCCTCTTGATTCTGTGAGTTTCAGAATACAATAATCGGATATGTGGCGTGACTCAAAAATGATTCGGATGAATTCGATTCCCTTGAATGTAAATTCTACCAACAGCGTTCATTTAGCAGAAGCTAATAAAACAGAAGCCTGAATTGACATTGGATGTGGATTGTCTGAGCTGCAGACCATAAACCATTTGCTCAGAGACAAAAGAGAGCTAAACCCTTAACGTCTGTGTCTTCAAACCGTTCCTGAGACTGTTGCCGGGTTACAGCAGTCTTTCAAGCACCTCATTCAGCTTTTGTGTTGTTCTACCACTACTAAAAAATCCTAGACAGGACATGACAAAAGACTGCCACAATGATACTGTGTTATGACAGCTAAAGCTGCAGAAAAGATGATAAGTGATGCATTCATAACCGGAAAGGTTTTTGTTTCTTAATTTATGTGAATTCTCTACATGCAATCTGTGTGCAGAATAAATTGCCATGATTCTTTTATAATACTCACAATTACAGCATTCTTCCATGAGAGAATTCAAGGGAACAGTAGCTCAGTCACATGATGTTCCTGTCTCAACAGTTCTTGCAGATGCTCCACGCTCTCTTGTAACACTTTTAATATTGCAATAAATCCCACAATTTTACACTCACCATCATAAGCGTTTTCATCATCCCTGTCAGTCTGCTCTGAGTGAAGCGATCCTCCGTCGTTGGTGTCCGCTTCGTCAGGCTCTGGGAACTCTTCGTCTCCTACACAACAGAGTCTTCATCAGCATTCCCAAAAAAGAGGCAGCTAGGAGGCCACATTTTCAATCCTCCACCAGAAAAAGACACATTAACTAACTAAAATGATCTAATTCAGATGTTAAGCATGTTGCTTGCATGGTGCCTGGGAAGAGAAGCATGTTTGATCCAGTGATCTCCATTTGCATGCAGCATTGAGTGAGCCATGTTGTCTCAATGTTCACTAGAAACTCACTTTGCATAGATTTGGGATATGGAAGATATCTTATAACACTGTTTGAATCACATTTCCTGATAAGTTCATGTATATTAAAGAGCATATTGATGGGAAAGCTAGAATTATGCACGTTTGTGGTATAATGTTGAACATGAGCAAAAGCACTTCCTGTAATGGGGGTATAATAGTGCAGCTGTAAAGTGCATGTGTTTCCTTGCCCACAACGTGCTAAATCATACCCAGCCCTCTACCCACACCTTAACCGTAAATTAATTATAGGAAATACAAAATGCATCAGGGAACAGTCTTTATGTGCTGACATAAACCTTTTTTAAGCACTCTTTTCACATGTTCCCATCAGGAGAGAAAAAAAATGTCATTCAAATATGTTTACATGTCATGAATAAGTAAACAAACTCTCAAATTCACTGATATGCTAACTGCAGCACATAGTAGCCTACCCTATCAGTGGGGAAGTACTAGTTCACTTCATCATGCTTGTCGTTTAGCCCCTCCCCTAGACACACGCACATTCACAAACACACAAGCACATCAAAACTTACGTTTTTCCTTGAAATCTTGTGAGTAGCTGGAACAGAGATCATTAGATTTGTTGAATACTATATCAGCATAGGGTCAAAAACATATTCAGGTCAACAGTAATTACATAAATCTGCCTCGTACCTCGTTTTCACATCTTTAATGCGCTTGATAAAGGCATCTTTTCTCTCTTTTGCTTTCTTGCTCAGATTCTCCGCTTTAAGGACATCCGTCAAAAAGTTTTCCAGATCTGAAAACAGATTAAGCGTAACCTCTTGTCATTTTGCACCCTTGAATTCCTCATCAGAATTACGACTACCGTTATACCAAACTAATGATGACAATGATTTGTTTACTAGCAAATATAGGCTTTTGCTAAAATGCTCGTTGGCCTGAAACAACTCAACTACAGACACAGTCAACCTGCTTTTTTGGAACATGGTAACGTTAGCTTGTCAACCAGCTAATGACTATCTATGATGACAACGTCCTGCACCATCTAATTACGAGCGTAAACCAGTTAAAGTTAACGTTACCATTTTCAAAAACATCGCTAGCATCATAAACTGGACTTTCCAACAGGTATGTTACCGACTGTAAAAATAAAAACGGCACAAAAAACCCGGAATATTCATCTGCAGTTGAAACTTAACATAGACTCTTTACTTTATAACCGCTTAACCTACTTATAGACAACACGTTAAAACACAAAATAAATCTATCCGCGCCAGAAAAAAATGAATACACTAAGAGCAGTTACTTTATGCTCAAACTACAGGGAAATATTCACAACGTCTGTCGGTAGACTAAACTTCCTCTTTTCAGCCAAGTATGTAATGTAAACTGGGGACAAAAAACTATTATAGCTTAATCTGATTGCCCTCGAGACCTAAACGTTCGCTTTATCAACTGTTGTTTTATCCAAATATTGCGATGGTACCTGAAATGAGTGTTGTTAAGTCTTCTGGGATGGACCTCATTGTGTTAAACCGCTTGACCCAGTAAGATAGCCTTCGAAACACGGAAGTTAAGTGGACTGTGAGATACGGAAGAGGCAAATGCCTACCCTGCAGAAACCACTAGCTATTCAAATTAGACAGTATTATTTATCACGTCTGCTCCAGCAGAAACATTTGGGTACCTCAAACAGTGCACTGGGGAATCACACGCTTCCTCGTCCACTTTTACGTGCTCGCTTTGACAGGAATAATTAAAGGACACTTTTTAACATTAGTAATTTCACTGCATTTATTGCATTATTCTTTGTATTGACATGTGACGGTGATAATGTTTACCTTTGTTTCTTTAGCGTGAGAGCGGAAAAACAGATGAGAAACATGAAGCATGCCAATCTGAATCTAAAACAACAACAAAAACGTGCTACTTCCATAGCTAAGGCACAAAGGTAGCGATCCTCATTCCGTGACTTTGGGTAAGTAACTGAATTTGAACTGTAACATTGTATACATTCAGTGCTGGTGCATTAGCTAGGATTTTAGTGAGAGGATCTAAGGACCTTTTAGAGATTTAGGCCTGCTGTTTGGAGTGGGCCCCACTTATCCTGAGGAGGGAGACAGGTGAAGAATGGGGGTGATGCACAGCTTTCATAGAAAAACACATAGCTATCCATCTCCATCTGGCTCTGTCTCTCTCTCTCTCTCTCTCTCTCTCTCTCTCTGCTCCTCTGCTGCTTCACAGAGATTACTGCAGAGAGCAGATCCTTGCCAGGAGACCTGCACTCTGTCACCTTCTGAAAGACAGTGACTCTACTTCTCTTAGAGGATGACAAGGAGAGGAATTTGGTTTGTGAGGGGGTTTAATTTTTAAAAGGAATACAGATTTAAATGTATTTTTTTCATAGTATTATTGGAGTGGGATGGATACTGATTTTGCAGACAAGCCTAGTGATATATTTATGCACATAAGCAAACGAGACTATTTATAGGAATGTCTCAAATGAAAGATTAAAAGGCTAATTTACTTTATAAAAGTACTGGCTGGTATTCAACACTGACATCCTGCATGCTTGTTCACTCGGCTTGAGCGCTGCTTGAACCTCATTTGACCTGGCCACAGATCCATCTGGCGTGGAGGGGGAAAGAGAGGTGAAGTGCCCTTTGACCTTTTGAAGGACAGGGAAGCAGCTTCATATCTCATGCTCCTCGGTCGTGCCTGTTTGATCTGGACTCACCTCAGTTCACACGTCTCAGCTTCTGGCCCACAAGTGGAGGAATGTGTGTGTGAGTGTTTTAATGCAGTTAAAGGGATAGTGAAAATTCTGTCATTAATTACTCACCCTCAGACTTTTGTTCATCTTCGGAACACAAATTAAGATCTTTTTGATGAAATCGGAGAGCTTTCTGTCCCTCCATTGACAGCTACGCAACTACCACTTTTACGCTTTAAAAAGTTCATAAAGAGATCGTAAAACGAATCCATGTGAATTGAGCGGTTTAGTACAAATTTCCTGAAGAGACTCGATCGCTTTATATGAACAGATTGAATTTAGGCTTTTATTCACATATAAACATTCATCAACACAAACATCAGTTATGATATAAAGAAGCTCAAGCATGTTCGCTTGAAGTGCGAGAACCAATGAGGTTCATTCTCATGTTACGCAGCAAGTTTGAGCTTCTGCAAGAACCAATGAGGTTCATTCTCATGTTACGCAGCAAGTTTGAGCTTCTGCAAGAACCAATGAGGTTCATTCTCGTATGTTACGCAGCACGTTTGAGCTTCTGCAAGAACTAGGGCTGCACGATTAATCGAAATGAAACTGCACACGACTGCAAAGGCTGCGATTATTTTATGCGCAGCTTGTCAGTGCAGTTTGGCTGATCGGTAGTAAATGCTGCTCCATCTGAAAGCCAGAGGGTGCTCTCACGCAGACACGCCAAATATGCCCCACTGCTGAAGTACACGTGTATACAGCACGTTTGAGCTTCCACAAGAACCAATGAGGTTCATTCTCGTGTTACGCAGCATGTTTGAGCTTCCTCAAGAACCAATGAGGTTCATTCTCATGTTACGCGGCACGTTTGAGCTTCTGCAAGAACCAATGAGGTTCATTCTCGTGTTATGCGGCACGTTTAAACTTCCGCAAGAACCAATGAGGTTCAATCTCATGTTACATTTGAGCTTCTATAAGAACCAATGAGGTTCATTATCGTCTGCTACGCAGCACGTTTGAGCTTCTGCAAGAACCAATGAGGTTCGTTCTCATGTTATGCAGCACATTTGAGCTTGGTAGTTGCGTAGTTGTATGGAGGGACAGAAATCTCTCAGATTTCATCAAAAAGTTCTTCATTTGTGTTCCGAAGAAGAACAAAAGTCTTACAGGTTTGGAACGACATGAGGATGAGTAATTAATGAAAGAACATTCATTTTTGGGTGAACTATCCCTTTAACATGCTACATTATAATCATCATCTTTATTAAATTAGGCATATTGTACTTCTCTTCATCCCACAGTTCTAGCATAATACTTTCTTGTTTTCTCTAGGGCAAGAACAATGTTTTAATCATTTTTGGTCGACATGACTCTGTGGTCGCCAGCACTGTCATGCTAGTTAATATGGAAACCACAGACTGGCAGATTCTGATTCATTCTTTTTTTGTGTGTCAGCTTTGTGACTTGAGTCTGTAACATTTGCATTTGCTTTGGTTTTGTTTCAGAATAATTCATTTATTGGAAGAACACAAACAGCACTGAATAAAAAGTTTTATAGCAGCCGAGCGAAGACATAACAGCCTTGAAAACGTACCTGAGATGGATGAGGTCACCAGCAAATACTATGACATGTCATGTGACAGGTAAGTCATATCTGAATCAGACCACCTGAACAGCCCCCAAACATAAAGGAAGAACATCAGAGGGCACGGTCTTGCCACTGAAATTCACACTGCCTGTAGGGTGCAGGGGCATCTGTGAAGTTCAACTTTGTGATGGATGAGATGGTGTTTTTGCCCCTTGGCCTCTGAGGGATTAGGCTGCTCAGGTGTTGTTTTTAAAAGACTTAGAATTAGCTTACATTTAAACATTTAAACTGTCTTTTGACACTTTCACCACCTGTTTTCTGGAGGAAAAAAAAGTCTGGCCCCCCTGGATTGAACCTTGAGTTCACGTTTCATGTCAACAAATGAATTCATGCGCAGTCATATATCATATCTGAAATGTACATTTGTAACTGCTGTAATTGTGTGACTCATTGGCAGAGCTTTGACTCTTTGATTATTAATTACTCTTGATATATTCATGAAGCGTTTGCAGTGACTGAGTCACACTGAGGCCTCGGTTGCAGCCTTGGGGAAAAAAAAGCACTTTTATGTTTAGTGAAAATAGATGTTTGAGAAGCAGACCACGTAAGTGCAACTAGAAGAGGAATAATTGCATACTTCAGGAATTCCATAAACATGATCTATGAGATAATATCATGCTTCATAGAGCTAATTTGTTCATTTGTATTCTGTGGTGTTGCTGTGGTTGGCCTTGGTTCTTGAGCCAGTTCTGATTCAGACCCTTAAAGGGATATTTCACTCAAAGCTGAAAATTCTGTCATAATTTATGCACCCTTATTTCACAAACCTTTATGGCTTTTTTTTTAGAACACAAAAAAATATATTTTGTTTACCTGTTTTTGTCCATACATTGAAAATCAATAGATTCCAAAACAACATTTGATAATTTTCAAAACCAAACAAAAATCTTCTTTGTGTTCCACAGAGTCATAGAGATTGTACATGAGGGTGAGAAAATTAAGACAGATTGTCATTTTTAAATGAGCAATCCCTTTAAGTGGTATTAGCTTTACATAACTGCACACTCAAAGTCATATATCAATTTGCAGCTATGTGTGTCTTGCTGTTTATATTTGGTGGTTCTGCTCTAATTTTGCTCCACCCTCAGAATATCTGCATGAAGCCCACCTGCATAGGAATGACAAAAGGGACCACCAAGCTTAAATGCATGTTTCCATGGAAACCAGCTGAAGGCTGAGTGCACTGACTTTAAATGCCTGCATAGACATTACAGCCAGAGTCAGTGGACTAGCAGTGCACAGGCCTTTCCTCTTTAGGCATTAGCTGTCGAGACCGGAATTGTACTTCGCACAGATGGTTCATCGTTCGTGGGATGATGGGATGACCAAAAATATGTCAGGCTCCCTAACCAAAGCCATAAACTTAGGCTGCAAAACACTTGAGAAAATAACATCATTGTCGGAGCCTCACACTGCACACACATATTATGCATGCTGAATGGTTTCACATCAGTTTTCATTAAGAAACAGTTGATTGTTCTGTTTGGGTGGGATCGTGAAAATGGTGGGTAACGCTTCCTTTTACAGTCCTGTTACCCATGTACATACTATGTACTTATTATAGTAATTACAATTACTGTGTAATAACTAGGTACTAACCCTGAACCTACCCCTAAACCTACCCCTTACCCATGTACTTACCTTATATTAGCCAGTACTTTCTAGGTAAGTGCACTGTAAGTACACGTACTGTACTGTAAAAGGAAGCATGTCAAACTTTATGCAAGTTTTTAATAAGTAAATAGCAGGTAATTATCCTTGCAATACCATATTTTAACATATTTATCTCTCTGCAGTGATACGCAGGTCCTAGTGTGGGCTCATGTGAGTTATTGTGATTCATATATACTATAGAAAGGCAAATTTGGTTTAAAGAGCTGACTTCCAAATCCAACATACACTTTATATATTTCAAATATTATGTACACACTTTTCTCAAGGAGAGGGTTACAATGACATTTTATGAGCAACACTTTTTTTTTATTCAGTGCATTTTTTTCTGTAAAAAATGATTTATCACAACATTTTTTCTTTTGTCAAATCAACTTAGATAATTTAGGCTATGTGGTTCAGATAACATAATATTTTTAAATTTCTGTTGATTAAACCAATCTACTTCATTGTATTAACTAATTTTTTTAAATGAATTCAAAATTTTAAGGCATTCAGGTTACTTACTTTTTAAGTTAACCCAACAATAATTATTTTACAGTAGTGTAGCAGTTTCTGAATGACTAATATCAAATAATATAAATAGCCTAATAAAAATGTTTTTAAAAAATGCCTATGAATTTATTCTAAGCTCTTCCCTGGCCTGCATACAAAAAAAAAAACCTCTCTTGGGTAGCCAGCTGGATTTGGATCACTTCTCTGTGGCAAATCTTAACTCAGTCTTTAACCTAGTTAAAGAATGCCGATCACGTGTTTGGTTTCGTCAAAGGACGTCAGTCAAACTATTTGTTCAGCCTCGATTTGGCGCTAAGCCCGTAGGCTATAGTGCTCTGAACAAGTTTCTTTAGCCTACACATCTCTTTGTGTATGATTAAACTTTTTAAATAATAGTTTAGAGATCATAATATCCATTTATTTAACCAACTGGAAGATTGGAGAATTTGAAACATATACTTTTGATAATATCTGAAAAGCCCTCAGACCATTGTAGACATAAACTATGCCGATAGGTCTACCATGGTGATAGTATCATATCAGTCCTACATCAGTCCTGTGTTGTAGCCTAACTTAGCCAGCCCATACTTATACTACGACTCGGATCATTCTGCGTCTCTAACAAATGCCTATGTGCGGTGTGAGCTGTTGGCTGCTAGGCCTCGTTTCCATTTCAACACTTACTGGTGCAACGTGGCGTCAGATGTTTGGAAATATTCCCCAACGCTATTTCACTGTAGGCCTACACTCTTTTCGATGAACCGCCGATTTCGTCTCATAGCCTATAAATGGAGTTTTGTATTGGTAACCTCACAATTGAATTTCGTACAGGAACGGAACTTGCACTTAATCGTGTAGGCCTGTACATATCATTAAAAATGACTCGAGTCACCCTTATTATTAAATAGGATCCACCAGCCACGGATAAGAACTAATCGTGGTTTAACAGTTTTTTATTTAAAAATAAATTAGGCTACCTAAATGTTTCCGTTAATATACAGAACTAGAATTGACAGTCTTTTTATTGTGCAAAAAGTAAAAAGCATTTGCCAAGATCCTCCCTTATCGATAAAGATTAAAATTGAGTTATGTTAAGGCTGTAACGAGCGTAGGCTATAGCCTATCAATAGAATTAGTCCAAGAGGACACAGGCCTAGAGTTCACAGAGGGCCGAAGCATTCAAATGAGGTCGTTTATTAGCTATTTATTCAGATTTGGAGTTAAAAAAGTATAAATAAAACACGAGCAGACCTAAGTCTTAGTTTATCCTATATTGTCAGATCATTCCTTACGGCGTTGTCTGTTGATAAAACCATAGTTATTAGCCGCGGTCTGATTTGGGATACGGTTAGCCTACATTAATCACATGCCATATACAATGTATATAAATTAATAATTATTATAAATTATATAAGCTAAATAAATTTTTTTTTTAAATGTGGTTTGACTGTTGAAATCCGTTCTCATTCTCAGCGGCGGATTGAATTACGCGGAGTGCTGCCTCAACACCAACCCCCTGTTGAAGGTTTAATAGGCAATAAAATTTAATTGCTGAACTCCAAAACGTTATAGCTCTTGGCCAGGAGATTCCATGTGTCGTCAGATACAGTAAAGGTCTTATTTACGCAGCATCAAAAACATCAGTCTCTTTTTGGGTGTATTCTGTTTTAGTCTACAAATTTGATGGCATCTAAAACTTCCCATCGGGTTAATTTTATACAGTTAGAAATCAAAATTTAACACCAACTACGCAACTGGGAAATTAGCAAAGATTAATAATAAAAAAGAATGTAGCACGCAATTAACTGCGTATTAATTGTGCGCGCTAATAGTTTCCAAGATAGGCCTATATTAGTTTTGATTAGCGGTTCTAAACTTAGCCTACTTTTGGCATCCTTATACATATCTGAATTTGTCCCTCGAAAAATGATGGAACAATTCATTAATCTTCAACAGGTAAATAGCCTACACAAAACTTTATCATAATACATCAGCAAAATAGTAGCCTAAATAGTAATAATATAGGTCTACTTTGAATCTTACTTCATGTTTAATAACAAACCTGTTATTTCTTAATCGGAATAGTGAAGAAAGAAATAACTCCGCTTTTATTTTCAATAACAAGTACAAATTTATTCTATGAAAATATGGCGCTTTGCCGACGAGCGATACAAAAATAAAACGTGAAAAATATCACTTCTTTTCCTGCCATATTTTCTCTGTACACAAAAATTATCACTCGATTATTGAAAAACTTACCTCATTGATTAATGGTCTAGGCCTATATTTAAAGTCACAATTAAATACACAGACCATCAATGTGAGAAAATATTGACGTCCCTATAATGAAACTTCAGTTAGAGTTAGTAGCTCAAGTGTTGCAGGTCGATTGTTGTAAGCGTCTCAGAGAAGAAATCAAAGGCCTCCGTTGATAAACCAATGGGGCTGTCTACAGATTCTGACAAACTTGGGGACACGGCATCTGAGAGGTGTAAGCATGAATCGTTGGAGAAAACGTTGAAGTCCTGTAAAGAGACGTCCAGGGCCGAGGGACTGCCATTGTCCTGAGCAGATGCACAATCCGGGGCCATTGTTGAGCCGCAGATAGGAACAGTGGGTGACGGGTTGGGAAAATGTTTCAGATGTTTGTCATTGCTACCTAAAGGAGAGGCAGTTGCGCTTTGGGAATCACTATTGTGTCCATTCTGTGACTGTTGTGAAGTTAAGGTATTCTGCTGAAATGGATAACCCTCTCTTTCCAAAAGCGCCCCTGATACATTGTTTGCCACTTGTTCGAAGAATGATTTCCCATCACCCCGTCCGCCTGCCTCCTCCAAGCTCGGTGGTTTTCCATCGCCGTTGTGGTTTTCTTTACACTGTGTTTGCCGTTTGTGTTTCATTCTCCGGTTTTGAAACCAAACTTTGACTTGCCGCTCGGTGAGATCCAGCAGAGCGGCGATTTCCACGCGCCTTGGTCGGCAGAGATACTTGTTGAAGTGGAACTCCTTCTCCAGCTCCAGCAGCTGAGTGTTGGTGTACGCCGTTCTGAGTCGACGAGTTGCCCCACTGCCACCATCAGAAATCTCGGGCGAGCCTATGAAGGGATTATAGCATTATACATTATTGATACGCCACTAATTATAACTCTTGATTTTTTACAACGGCGCTGTGGGGCTTAAAGCTGACCCCACAAACTTGTCAAATATATTGCGTTTCTCAGGGAGCATAAATTGTTTGTGGGAATGGAGCCACAGCACTTGAATAATTTGTGTCCTCATCCCCTATGCCAGAATATACTGATGTGTCTGGTGTGAGTGCGGAGAGGTCCGAGTGAAGATTAATGAACACGCCAGCTGCCGAGTTGAGTAATGGCAATCTATCATTCTTCATTACTGTCAAATATTAAAATTCATGCCCTGCACTACAAGTAGCTAACACACAGTTTAGGAGTTGTCCAGAACAGATTCTTTCGCATCCAAAAACGAACAAAAAAACTTTTAGGTATTAACTTGTTCGCGTTCAGTTCACATGACCCATGAGGATAACAAACTATCATGCATCTTCACCAGCATGGCCTTGCGCAACGCGGCAATTAAAAATCATAATACTGATAATAAAAACAATTGCATTTCGTTTGCAAAGAACTGTAACACGATGAAATTGCATTAAATCCAAATACCTTGAGGGGAGAAGTATAGTGGACCAGGGTCGGTGTTTGTTGCTGTCGAAGTTGTCTGGTTTTTCTTGGATGCCTTTTTCTCCTTCATCCAAGGGTACTCTGGGGGTAAGGATGCGGCAGACAGCGGGCATGAGCCATTAGGGTTCTGCTTGGGCCGGCTGTGGCGAGGGTGGCTGCCGGGGTTCAGGCTTGGAATGGTCTGCTCAAAAGGAGGAGGAATCAGTGTCGAGTGTGAAAGCGTCGAGCTCTTGATTGATGAACTTTGAAATGCATCACCGACAGGGGGAAAAGATGTCAGGCACTCAGCGAGCGACGGCTGACTATTGATAAAACCCGTCTCTCGCTCGAATTCGTAATTCATCTCCTCCAAGTCTTGCAAATTCGCCGCTCACAAATTTGTGACCCAAGGAAGATATAATGAAATATCGTGCCGGGTTAAAAAAAAAACTATTTTGCTGATTACGGCCGTATGGGGACCGCGGTGCCATTAAACTATTGCTTTCATGGAGACAAGGTTGAAATTGGACCGTATTGCTTGTCACATGATTACCTCTGTCCAATGACAATTTGGGGTTTAATCAAAAGAAGCCACTGTCTGTGTGATTGATCGAAAAAAGTCCAAGAGGAACGCCTCACTCTCTGGGACGGGCTAG